GTGGGGAAGGTCCACTCTCCTCGGAGTTTGCCTTTGGATTTTCTTTGGTTGCTCTTGAAGCCTAGCCAGGTTCCAAACCCGTGCCTGAGTTTCAGGTGTCTCAAGTTGGGGACCTCCTGCGAGATCGTGCTCCAAAAGTGGATAAGAGGGCAGACACATTTTCTCCCTGGCACTGAAATTCTCTGGGAGGATGCCAAGGGCAGCATAAGCCCAACCCGACTGAGAAATCAAAGCATCATTTAAAAAAACAAACAAATAAGTTTCACGGGCTAGGATTTCAACTCCCTTCTTAAAAGCAACAAAACAAACACAGGCATGGGGGAGGTTTATTGGCTGTGAACTTGTGTGTGCTGTACAGGAAGATTTTCTGCTTGGTCACTGGGTCTCTCTCTCTCCTCCTCTTGATATGATGTGTAAGAATCAGTGGAGGATCTGGTTAAAATTGCAAATACCCGCATTCCCCCAAGCCCAGAGATTCTGCTTCAGCAGGTCTGGCATGAAACATTCCAGGCGATCCTAACATGCACAGTTCCAGTGGGAAATTTTGACAGCCATTGACAAGTGCGTCTGAACTACCAACGTGGAGACCGCTTTAAGCCCCCTCTTGGACATGCTAACAAGTGGGACCCTCATGCATACTTCTTTTTATTTCCTGCAGTGCCTCTCTCTACAAAATTTTATCAGGTAACTGCATAGTAGTTCTCTAATAAAAAGAAAAGTCATATTTTTTGTTATATAGCATTATGTTATATAATGTCAGCTCTAAACACATTATAATCTAATGCCTTTTGCATGGGGCTGTCCAGTTTTCCCAACACCATTTATTGAAGAGACTGTCCTTTGCCATTGTATATTCTTGGCTCCTTTGCTGTAAATTCATTGACCGTATATGCGTGGGTTTGCTGCTGGGCTCTCTGTTCTGTTCCATCCACTTATGTGTCTGTTTTTATGCCAATGACCATACCGCTATGATTACTGTAACTTGTAATGTAGTTTGAAATCAGGAAACATGATGCCTCCAGCTTTGTCTTCTTTCTCCAGATTGCTTTGGCTATTCAGGGTCTTCTGTGGTTCCATGCAGATTTTAGGACGTTTTGTTCTCTTTCTGTGAAACATGCCATTGGAATTTTGAATAGAAATTGCACTGAATTTATAGATGGCTTTGCGTAGTAGGGACATTTTAATAATATTATTTCTTCCAATTCAAGATCATGGAATATCCTTCTGTTTATTTGTGTCTTCTTCAGTTTCTTTCACCAGTGTCTTGTGGTTTTCAGCGTAGAGGTCTTTCCCCCCTCAAGGGGAATTCTTGAATCCCACACTCCATTCAGCTCTCTGTTTCTTGATTTTCTCTCCTTCACGGTTAAGCATCCTTCTCCTTGGCCTCAGCTCCTTTCGCAGTCCTCTCACTGATTGTAAGGAGCTCTCCAAGCAAAGCCAGAAATGGCTGAACCAAGATAAAAAGCAGAATTCCCCTCCTTGCAGAGAGCATGTTCATTCATTCATTCACTCACTCACTCATTCATTTGTCCATTCCACGAATAATTGTTGAGAACGCGCTTACTCCAGGCATGTCCTTGAAATCAGGAGTCCAGAGATGAACAAGAGAGACAGGGTCCCTAGCTTCATGCAACGTATATTCTAGTGCAAGAAAATAGACAAGGAAGAGAGGGAGGGAAAAGAAAAAAGAAAAAGCATCAGTGCTGTAGTTGCTGAGAAGGGAATTAAAGTAAGATGGTGGACAGTGTGACCAGAGGGCTCTGAATTGGGTGGTTAGGAGAAGGCTGTCTCAGATTAAACATCAGAAAATTATCTGAACATCAAGAAGTCATCAGTGCAAACATCAGAAAGAGTGGCGTTCAGCCAAGAGGGACCATGTGCCCAGGCAATATACGTGTAACATCAGACCAAACAAAACAGAATTAATGGTATAATTTTGTGACCCTGCTAAATATGTTTTCAAAAAATCTTATTTCTCCATTAAAATGGACTCTTCAGAATCACAGTCAACTGTGGAGAAACAGAGCTTAGCAGAAAACAGAGACTACTGAGAAATATTAGCTGCTGAATGGAACAGTCAGTTCTGACAGATTTTCTTTCCTCGGCGATTAATTTACCACCTTTCCTAAGCAGAAATCCTGCTTTTTCTTGTTCTCAGAGTAGGAAAGAAGAAGAAAAAACCCAAACCCAACCCAAAACATCCCACCTCACCCCAAACAGAAATAACCCATATTACTCACCAACTCCAGGCATGAAAGAAGAGATTGCCATCAGGGTATGACGTCATTATATTCTGCATTAATTGGAGCAAAGGAGCAGAGACGAGGTGAGGTTTTGGAAAGAATGCTCAAAGAATGACACCCTTCCTCCTTGATTGTTTCGAGTAGCCTTGAAGTTAAATACTAAAAATATGCCAGCTATGAATTGGTTGACCAGCTCACTGGCTATGGACTGAACTGTCACCTCCAAATCGAGATGTGGAAGTCCCAGCCCCTCATGGGACTGCACTGGAGAGGAAGACAATTCAAGGCGGTGATTGGGGTTAAATGAGGTCATGAGGGTGGAGCCCTGATCTGATAGATCCGGTTTCCTTACGAGAAGAGGAAGAGACACCAGAGGTCTCTCTCTGCCGTGTGAGGACACGGTGAGAAGGCAGCTGTCTGGAAGTCAGGAAGAGGGCCCTCACCAGCACTGGGCCTTGCCAGGACCTGGATCTTGGACTTCCAGCCTCCAGAACTGTAAGAACATAGGTTTCTGTTGTTAAGCCCCCTCAACCAGTGATACTTTGTTACGGGAGCCCGAACAGACTAAGACATCACCTCTAGTTGGTAGAGAAACGGGGCAGTAAAACGAGTGAAGGACTGTGACTCCCCCATCCCCAGTGTTGGAAAAGCGTCTAATGAGATCATGGTGCCTCAAGGATTTAGTGTCAAATTCTAAAAAATCCTCTGTTTTTCATCATTTGGAACTAATGTAGTGTTTAAACCGAAAGTTTAGTCATATTTAAAAATATTATTTTTTTCATTTGCAGCAGAAA